TTTTTTTTTTTTTTTTTTTTTTATACTTATATTCAAACATTCGAAATATTTGAAAACTTGTCGATGTATATCAATTCTAAAATACTTTACCCAAGAAGCGATTCATTTTAAACGAAACAATCGATTTCAAATTTTCATTCACTCACGCTCTAATATCGAAAATCGAACGCAATCGAACGCGATCGAGTGTTCCCGCGCATTTCACTCAGCGTCCTCAACATACTCGCGATCATGTACTGCGATTTCACGTTGTGCTTAGTTTTGATAAAAGTAATTAAAAAGTATCAAAAGGTGAACGTCTTAAGTGTAACGTTTTGTTCGATAATTGAAATTTAATGAAGAGATTAGAGAATCTTATAATTGAGAAGCATAAAAAGACGTGGGACAAAGGCCATATCGCAGCCATGATATCAACAGTACATTTGGTAGTGTAAAACTTAAGTTTGATTGATTATGGAACGATATATTACAACATTTTTACCTATCGTTGGGTAATTTCTTTGTATTCTTCTTTTTCTCTTTTTTAATAATATTCTATAAATCGCGTTATAAGTTGAGATATAACATCTATTACACGAATATTGACACTGGGAGATTAACATCTCTGGCGTTCATTTATAGTTCCATTAAGAATTATTACCGTTTTTAATATTCAATACGAAAAGAAAGGTAATACAAAAAGCACGTGTTATGTAAAAATAGAATAAAATCTACTTATTTCCTGTAACGAAACCCGTTCGAAGGTTTCGACTATATATATATATATATGTATATCGTGAATAATTTTTGTACAGGTTAGAGTTTAAATGTATATAACATTTGGTAGAGATCCAAACACTTTAGGTTGGAATTACATACTTTCTTTTAAATTATTAGTATGAGATTGGCCGTGAAAATTCCATTTCCATTTAAAATAGACTAAATAAGCATTTAATTTTACTACAATACTGTATAAATGATTTTAAAAATGTTATCACGTCTATAACATTGATTAATATTTTTTTTTCAATAATACAACGAATTTGGATTTTATCATTGTAAATAACTGTGAAAACTAACAAATTGCATAACCAAAGTCATACAAATCTTATCCTGAGTTTCATTAATTCTATTATTATAGTTCATCCTTGAGTAATGTATACCTGTTTTTGCTAGGTGCTAATTTCTTAAATGTAGATTCTGGTGGAGTTGTAGGCACCTTAATTTGTCCAACAATTTCTCGTACTTCGTTACTAGGATCTGGCCCATAATGAAATTCTCTATGTAACTTTCCTGAATATAAATCTCGTAGAAAAGCTTTTAGTTTTCCTTCTACATGAATATCATTAAAGTTTGGAAACAGGTACATATGTCTAAAACTATCTATGGCAATTAGAGGCAAATCTGCTGGAGTTTTTCCTAAATGATGTAGAGGATGAGCAAATTTCATACCATCTGCAGTTAAGAAATTTACATTTTCTGAAATGTAAAATAAAATAAAATATTATATTTGTGTTATTTATATTCCTATCCTATTGCATTCTTATTGTGTTTTATCCATTTTACTCACGTTTTTCATCAAGTAATGTCCTTGATACTACATCTTTATACATTTTAACACTCTCAACATCATCGGGAGCATGAAACAATATAAGGAAAGGTAAATCTTCCTCTGTTAATTCCTCAGCATTTTCAAATGTGATTTCCCTCACAAAAGGAACACATTTTTCTTGTGCCCAAACATTTAATTCATCAAAATTGTTCAAACTTCCATGATACGTTTCATCTTCATCATTAGAAAGTGCTTTATCAGACCGGAAGACAATTATAGGTTCTCCTGGAGGGTGCATAGCTTTACTTGCATTCCTAATTATATTTCCAACATTTAAGAATTAATGTCTTCCTTTGTATAAATATATATATATAGTTTTATTTATATATACTTATCAAATAAAATTGCAAAGCAAAATATTTAAAAGAAAGTACATTAAACATTGCATAATTTATGTATAACACAATAATATAAAGATAATAGTAGAAATAATAAAATACATGTACATAAATACATATGTACATATACATGTATATCTAAGATATCTTAGATGTGCATATATAAAAAAAAGAAAAAAAGAAACATTGCATTGCATAGTTTTAACTTTGTAAATAAATACAAAGATAGCCAATGCCTATCTATATCTCATTTAATATTTTACTTACAAAAAGTGAAAATGTTCCCCAATTTCACAGTTTTGTGCTGAGCATGTGCTTGTTATAGGAAAGAATAGAATAGTTATACATAGTTACTTATACAAATGTTGAAAAGAATTTCTTTGGAAACAATAAATTGATTCATATTGATTACCTATATAATTTTATTAAATTATATTAAAATTCTTACCCAAAGCCAACATGGAATTGGCAATCATCCTTGAGATTTGTAGCAACTCTCCTAAACATTTCATATTCAGGAACATCCTTTCTATCAAAATATCCAATGATCATTCTTTTTTTATCATCTAAATTAGTTAATTCCTTTAAATCATAAAATTCCTTAATAGGATCCTCCAATTGTTTCTTTATAAATTCCTCAAAAGCTTCTACAGATCGCTGTCCTCTATATTCTCGTTTGGTTGGCTGACCATTTCTTATAACTTTTAAAGTTGGATACTTAGTGATATGGAACCTTGAAGCAATAGAAGCTGGAAAACAATTTTTTTATTTATCAATACATTTTATTCACAAAATTATTTTAGTTTTATATAATTTATTTATTTATTTTTAATTATATTTACTTACATTCCCTTTCACAATCTACTTTTGCCATTACAACTTTCCCTGGTTCAGGAAATGCATTTTTTATTTTATTTGCAGCTTCTTCAAAAATAGGAGCTAACGAATTGCTAAAACGGCACCACTGTGCGTAAAAATTTATAAATACCAATTCATTTGTTGCTAGAACAACATAACATGATATTTATGTTATTATATAATAGATAAAATTCATATTTATGCATTTTTATTAACACGACTTACCAAGCGTCATATCGATATTTTGTTGAGTAAGCGATAAAGCGCCTTCATTAGTATCGTTTGCGAAATTATGTGGCAAAAACGCCTAAAAAAACAGAATATTTTAAATATTTTAAATATTTTATATATTTTATATATTTTCGCGTTATTATTCGGTGCGAAGCAATTAAATGTATTGAAAAAACATGAGCGCGCGTAATATTGGAATATTTAACGCGTAATATTTAGATAAGATAATTTAAGTAAAGGAGGGGTAAATTAAAAATAACAAAAATTATATTAATTGAATTAAAAATTATATTTTTATTTTCTAATAATGTCATTATTGCATTTTTTCTCCTCGATATAATGCATTTAATAATTTCAAAATTTAAATTATTAATAACATATGTATATAATTATTTAATTTTTTGGAAAGTTTGTTTAGTAAAATTTTGAGGTTATTTTATGTATATATGTATAGGTTATGCCGCTTTATAAACAATAAAATTAGGTTCGCTGTCATTAAGATCATTCTAACTTTAACGGTTTTATAATAACGGGAAATGAACTTTCTAAAATTCGTAGTCAAATACGTGTCACAACATGTATAGCTGGCAATATTCAAAATTTTCTATCAGTTCTTTAATAAAGGATACACTATTTTAATTAATACTCACCAATAAACAGGCAAATATAAGTACTTTGAAGTCAAAAATATCACAGAAGACCAACATGTTGTGATCTTATATTATAAATTTAATCAGGCAACACTTTTTTGAATCACCATCAGTAACCAGCTGCCTTCGCGTCAAATGTCATGAATTTGCAGTAAATCGAATCCTAGTAAAATATTATCGATATATCGATTTAACAATGATGACACAACTATCATATAAATTCTCTATATCGAAATTGTACCTATCTTGTTTCTCTATTTAATTTATGTTACGTATCATTAGATCTCGTTCCAACTCCTCTCTTGTATTCCATTGTTCCTATTTTCTTTAGACAGTAAATTTTTACACTGTAGGCATTGCTATGGTATTTCCCTAGCAGCAGACCAATCATATTCTATTACGTCTGAACACACGTCGATAAAAAAATTCCCTAGATCGCTCGAATCTTTAGCGGGAATTTCAATTCTTATGAATCCCTCTTTAACACTAAAAAAAATATTTTACATATATATTTTACATATATATATATATTGTATATAAAAAATACTAATAAAATACTAATAATGAAGCACGACTAGGAAAATAATTTTACATAAGAAATGTTTAAAATGATATATTAATTTCTCTATAGAGAATTTAAATATTTATTCTTGCAAAATCATTGATTTGATTGGCAAGATAAAGATAATTTGAAAGCATCGATACTCCACATGATAAACCGAGAAAAATTCAATAGATTTTAGAAAGTTTCAAAAGATAATTTATTATGCAAAACCGCTAGGATTTTTCTCTTCACACAACCGCAAATATTTTCACGTTCTAACGTCTCTTCTTTTCCTTAACAATCGGAGAGCATCGCCCCGGCAAAAGATGAACAATTGTTCCTCTATCCGCAACAAACTTACCTGCCGGAGAATCTATCGCGGGAAATACAATAAAACAATTATATATCCGTAATCTCCGTGTAAAAACGAATTATTTGCTACATAGAAAACAACAATAACGTTTGCCGGGTATTTTGTCTCATCGTGTACCATCGTGACTTTACGAATCTTTCTAGCTCCCCGAGAAAATTTCAATGTTCAAACACACCTGGTTGAATTCTCCTATTCCTAGACGTTATAATCCCCATTGAACGAGTACGAGAACTCTCTAGGCACGAACTCCAACAATAATTTATGACTACACTGCTCGAGCGGGTATGCTGTCGTGTAAGCTACGGCTTAACCGTAATTTACAACAAAATCCAATTTTCCCGATTCCACGATTATTCCACAGATCTACAGACAGATCTATCGACCGTGTTACTGGTGGTTTTCTTAAAGCACAAAGTTTTTTAACATTTTCTCAATCAAATCGAATTATATTTCTCTTTTTCGAATCGAAATAAAATTTAATCAAAAATTTAAACTTTTTACACAATACTTATATATTCCCTGAGATAGAATTAAACGTTGACTCAGTTGACATTAGTTTCCGTCAATAGTTCAGCTCAGGACGACAGTCGGAATGACTTTGACTTCATAGAGACTTTTTCCTTTTTGTTGCCGACGTTTTCAGTCCTCTCTGCGGGTGGGCGTAGATATATCTCAAATATATCCATGTCAGTCTTACGTCCGAATGGATAATATCGTCCAAACGTACAAGAGTTCGTTTTTCTTCTTCGAATATCTCTTAAAATTTTTGCCATGGAACACGTGTAATATAATTTCTCGAATTGATTTTAATCGCGGATCAATACGGTAATGACTCTTCGTACAAATTCGGCCTAACTTTTACGTGTTAAAGCGACACTTATTTGCCGGCATTCTTTGACACTAGATCGGGTGCACCGCTGGATACTGGTTGGACAAACGAGTCTGTTGAAAGATAAAACCGCACAATGCGCTACAGGATTCTGCATCCGACAATATGTATTTCCCTTTCCGAGAAAAACTGACGTGAACTGACTTCAAGGGCGGCACTGACCTTTGCCATGACAAAACGTGCCGACATTTCCCCCCCCTCTTTCCACCTCCCCCCAAAAAACGAAGGAGACATAGATGAGATTTTCGATAAGATCGCTCTATTTTTTTCATCGTTGTTTAAATTGTAAAATTTATTGGATAGATAGGATTGGCTTGTTGGAAGAGAGAATTGAAGAGAAAAATCAAAGAGAATATTATTCTTTGGCAAAGTCGTTAATTTTTATATCAGCGGCCGTTTACGATTTTACCTGGAACAACGTGGGATCATAGACCTAGAAGGAAGCGGCTATCCCATTTTTTAATATCCGTTTGACTCGACACGGGATGTACACGGATGTGCCGATCAAACAGGTTATTCACAGTCGTTTAGGTTCCTTCGTGATTCGTTCCCGGAAGTTGGAACACAAATCATAT